CCTACTCATACATGTGTTATGATATTTGTGATTAGTTTTTAAATAGCTTTCAGGCTATTTATATATTTAAATGAGTTGACCATGGTTATGTAAGAATAGGAAATTTATTTAACGTAACATAAAAGGCAGGAAAGTTACATAAAAGGTCTAGGTAATGAAGTTTACATTTCCAGACACAAAGTAAAATATAAAGTACTGTAGGTATTAAAGTAAATCCCGATGGTATTGAAAAAGGGTATTATATCCTTGTATTCATTTCAAATATAATTAATAATTTACTGTTAGTTTTAGTCAAAAGTTTTAATTTAAAAAAATAGTTAAACATATGGTGTGATCAAAATGAAGAGTTTCTTAATTATTAGTTTCGTATTGTATTATACATTGAGATTCAATGGACGAGTGAATGCTTTTAACAGTGATTTCGCAAAACTAGAGAATCTCTTAACACAAGAGAAAGCAATGATTGAGTCGTTGAGTGAATACTTGGGGTCCGAAGATGTCCTCAATTCCCGCTTAAGACGACTGACAAACAAGTCGTTGATTTTGAACTCAAATGCACTGAAAGGCGATACCGAGGGCTCACTATTAGGACATCCACTCGACGTATATCTCCTCATCAGACGAATGGCTATCGACTGGAAAGAAGTGAAGGATTTGTTGCGAACCAAAGACCAGCGCTTAAGAGATGTCCAAATGAGACAAATCGGTGGTCACTCTAACCATACAAATGAATTGAATGTCACGTTTGACTCGCAGTCAATGTCCAGCAGTCATGAGATTATCACTAATAAGGAGCTAAAAGGTATTTAAAGAGGTTTTATTTAATAATAGTTTTATTTTAGTTATGAAAATGATTGACAACTTGTGGACAGACACCGCGTTTGGAGTGATAAGTCTCGTCAGTACTTATGATTTGGATATCAAGTCATTAGCGAATGGATTCATTAGATCTAAGACCAGTTCCGGTGCTGAAGTGACTTCACATCAAAATCAATACAAATATGCTTTAAATGCTTTCGACTGCTATTTGATTGGAAAACAAACGTTTGATAACAAGGAGTACTTGAATGCAAAGCAATGGCTGATAGAAGCGGTCGATAGATTGGACGACGTGACCAGCGATGAGATAATTGCAGACATTTTTAATTATCTGTCGTTTTGTGAACTGAAAATTGGAAAACCGAGTGAAGCCCAGAAATATAAGAGACTGTCGGTCGCTATAAAGCCAGACAACGAGACAAATGAATTCATATCAGAGATTAAAGTGTTTAACGACACGAATACCACTTCTTATCGTATTAAAGATAAGCCTATTTTTAGTTTATCTGCAAATGTATATGAATTATGTCGCGGAGAAAGACTTATGAATGACTCGATTGCCTCTAAACTCAAGTGTTTTCACTTAAACACAACGAAAACACCGTTTTTACGGTTGACT